ATGGTTCATATTTCGACTGGTCCCTGCTGAACCAGACAAGCGTTGAACCATCTATGGTCAGCTTAAGCTATACCTCAATAACATGGGTGGTTTCTCCATTTTTAACCCCTTGTTAGTAACGGACTGTGCTCAAATCTGGTTTACAGCTAGTGAGAAAGAAGTGCGAATGCAGTACAGACAGGGTTAGTCCTGTGAAATAATATTCCACAGCCTTCTCCTAAACATCACAAAGCTGGGAGATTTTTTAAATATTTTATGCTATGCTTTGTTAATAAGAACACACAACAAATATAAAGTAGGCGCTATCCCTCATGCAGAGCCTCTTTCTGGACCAGGGGCGGACAGACCATTTGAAAACTCGTGCACTGCCCGAGGGCCCGGGGTCAGTAGGGGGCCCCATGAGATGCCCTTGGTACCTTTTTCATAGGCTTTTTTGAGTTTGGGCAAGGACACAGGGGCCCCATGATCCCCTATTGCCCGGGGGCCCCATGAGTTGTCAGTCCGCCCCTGTTCTGGACCCAAGATCTCAATAAAAGGAGATCTATTGCACTTTAGCTGCAACAGAGCAGAGAACTCCACTAGCTGGCTCCAAAGATTGTCACCACAGGGGTATCCGGACTAGGCGCTTGTTGTAGCCTCCCTGGCGGTATTCCCGAGTGTAGCTCGTGGTAAAGTTTCAGTACCACAAGCGGTAACCCCAAGCTACACTCGGGCTTACCATGTGGCGCTGCTCCGGGATCTGTTCTTCTCTTGCCTTGTCCTGCGGTCCTACGATCCTGCGATGTCCCCCCTGCAGGGTCCCCGGTAATGTCCTCCGGCGGATGCCGGCATCCGTCTTCTGGGTTCCGTTCCCCACGACGTCGGGACGTACGGGAGACGGAACTGGCGGGAAATTTGAAAATGACAAAAAGTGGCATTCACTAAATACACTAAAATCACATAGTATAACATTCCTGTATCAAACCATTTCACATACATTTTGTCCCGAGTGCTTTGTCCGGCGCCCTGCCTGCATTTTTACTGTTCTTTCTGCCTGGAAACTGAGAAATGTCCATGGCGTCCAAAAAGCGTCCTTTTAGGTCAAAATTGGTTTTAGACCAGCTAGAGAACAGCGATAGTAAATCAGAACCACTTGCAGAATTGAGTGATAATGATTCGTGGGGGAAATTCATCATCAGACACTGAAAACGATTCTGCGACTTTGCTCAGTGATGTTCTAACTTGGCGCTATATTTCAAATTTCAGTGTTTTTGGTTTGATTATATTATTGAATTAAATTTTTTATTATTATTTTTTTTTATGATTATTAGATTATAATTTATGATTTCGTGTTTCAAATTTGTTCATACCCGGGATGTTTATTAGACTCTTGTTCAGACAGATTTCAGTGAGTTATTACTAAAAATTACAGGCCTACAATCAAAAAACGACATATTTCCATGCAAAAAAAGTACCGCTTTGAGCACAGAAATATGAACATAATCAGACCGCTAGGGGGGTTAAATGTTACCCTCTGCCGCATACTGCATTGCCATCTACAGCTGGTAGACCTGTCTGTTTTCTTTTGCTGCACTGATAGGAGTTTTAGCTCCAACTGGCATCTTCTCCACCAGGACAGAACTCTGAGCCAAGGAAATTGAATGCTGAGAATTTTTAGGTTTTTTTTTTTTTTTTTTTTTACCATTTTGTTCCTGGAAGACCTGACGAGCAGGATATTGGATTACACACGCAGCTAAATGTGTCAGAGAAGGGTCCGCTTCCTCCTTCACTTTTAGGCCCCTTTCACACGATCTATGAGGTTTGCCTCTGTTTTTCAGGCTGACCCGATCGGTCCATCCATAGACTTCTATGGACCAGCGGGTGTCAGCAGATTGTAGTCCACTTACATCCGCCGGCATTCGATCTGATCCTGTATGCCAAAATTAGATGACTGATCCACTGAAATCAGCGGGCAGTTTCTGTGTCTGATGTGCAGCAGCAGAGCGGACAGAGACCTGTCATCCGCCTGCTCAGCGGGGATCAACAGAGAGATCCCCCACTGAGCAGGCAGATCACTAATGGATCTGCCCCATCTGGAAGGGGCCTTATTGAAGGCTGTGGTGCATGCTGCTGCTGCAATTTTAGGTTCTGTGATGTGGAGTCTGAGCGTCACGGGTTGCAGACGCTCACCTGCAGAGAGTCACCTAGGAAGGGCAAAAATTGACCCAATGCTGCAAGTGATGCATGAATTGGGAGCACTGTGGTCCCCTCTGACTCTTAAATCAGAATTAAATCCTCCCATCCTTTACAGCCAAGGAAGTTGCTTTTTTAGCCTCTGTTTGATAAGCGGTTACCACGGTACTGCATATGTGATCAGTATTGACACTAGCCATTTTATGGCTGTTTGAGAGCACAGGCAACTATGACATGTATCATTTGTGGCATGCCTTGAATGGAACTGATTTATAATCTGTTAAATCGACGGGTTTAGTTTTGCTGTAATTTTTAAAATGACTGACAAAATAATATCTCTCAGATATAGAATGGCATATTACTAATCGAGCAGCAAAGATGATTTTCCGAGAATAAAAAAAAAACATAAAAGGGGAAATTGATGTGATAATGAGTCGTATTTAATGTTAATTGACTAATGCATAGAAACTGCAAAGCATCGGCGCTTCCCCTTGTAACAGCTTCCTCTGTAATGTGACCTTTTATAGTGGAATCTGGAGTTGATGGTCTATTAAATGTGTGCTGTGATAATAGAAAAGAAGTAGCACAAGCACCGAACATGTTGGCTGTGGTTACAGTGAAAAGGCCTAATGTCAGGGCTCCCGGGTATGACCAGAGGTGTGTGACTGACGCAGGGAAACGCAGACTTCAGATATGTTATAAACAATATAATTTATTAACACTAACAATACAAACATAAACACAGTGCAATACTAAAACATAACACAGTGCAAAGAAACCAAACCAAACCACCCACAGATAACAGTACATACAATGCAAGCGTCATCAGGCAGGCCGGGTCAATATCAATCGGGCAGGTAGGTACAGGGGGAGCAAGCGGAGAATGGTCGGGGTCACAAGCCAGGTTCAGCAGGTAGCGGGCAGCGTGGTACAGAGGGTCAGGCAGAGGAGAATGGTCAGACAAGCCAGGGATCAGGAGCAGGAGAATGGTCAGACAAAGCCAGGGATCAGAGCAGGGTCAGCAACAAATCAGACAGGAACAGGGAGCAGGAACAGGATACAGGGCCCAGGAGAAACACACACCAAGGCAGAGTCTGCAGGTCTGGCCATCCCTTAAATACACCAGTATAATCAGTTCCAGGTGTTTGACTGGCTGCAAGGTTGAGTCTCTGATTGCTGGGAGCACCCGCTGGCCAGCCCTGGTACTGCAGCTCATAAGGCAGGTGAGTCCCACCATTGCTGGCCAGTCCATTCCTGACACCTACAAATGACCCTCTTGTATTGAATTGTACCTTTGGCGCTATATAAAACCTGTTTAATAATAAAACTGTATTTATAGAAAGGAAGGTGTGTGTGTGTATGTATATTTATGTGTATGTATATATATATATATATATGTGTGTGTTAAGACATCCCATTCATTTTTAATGCTTTGCAATACATGCACCCCAGCATGGCCAGAATCGTACCTGATCCTTTCGGGTGACCAACACACTTACTTTAGGTGTCATTCACAATGAATGACACCATAGCACACCATTGCTCGTAAGGTGAGTTACTGCCACTTGATAGAGTGAACACAGCTTAATTGTGTGCCAGTACACACACTCGCCATCTCTTCCTCCTCATATGCACACTAACTGATGTTGGGCGCCATGATTCGGTGGTCCTTAACTCTTTTTTTATGCACATATAAGCTAATCATATTATTCATATTGCACTTAAAGCATAATCCTAGCTGTACTAGAGTCCCGCATCTTTCCAGATATGTACATTCCATATTTAATTAACTTCATATGTTTATGAAAATGAGAAATGCTACTTCAGCGACCAGTCTCGGAGCAACTGGCTCCAGAACACCATGTCTTGGCATCCCATGGGGTCATGCGTTTATTGGGAATGACAGGGGCCTTAATAAAAGTGATGCTTCGTAGGGCTCATTCACAGGGGTGTACAGTCCTCTTCATTGAGCTGAGCCATTTGTTTCATTTTTATTTTCACCACTGAGCTGCGTGCTGGCAGCCTAGAGGAAGTGAATAGAACATCGGTCTTACAGATTCTCCCTTGTGGCTGAGTTTGACATGTTTGCAGCATAGGATGCTTAGACCGCGATGCAGAGCCTGTCCACCCAGGTCCATGCGCCTGTCCTCACCTATGCTGATGCCGTACATATATCCTGGTGTTGGGTATAACGGAACCGGGCCCTGACTGCACTAGGGTGTTTCCGTTATACTCCCGCTTCCCTGTCAGAACACAGATCCACGGACACCACCGCTGACCATACGAGACTAGATGAGACCAGTCTTGTATTAAACAAGGAAATAGACTGCTTTATTTTAACAAGACACAAGATATATACATTCAAGGGAACAATTTTCCCCTCCCTGCATAAGGATACAGGGCGGGGCAAACCAAATCTAGCAACAAGAGACACATCAGCAGAGACCCCCCACCAAGCCAATACACAAACACATACATCCCATAATAGTTTGCTCCCAAGTAAGACACAATACAACAATGGGATGCAACCACATGGCAATAAACAATCCACAACCCCCACCCCAATATTAGCACAGATCACCCTGTACCCCTAACAGGCACAGGGTGACTTACACATAAGAGGGATATGGGGAGCTGAGACAGGGGTCCCCATCTCTCCAAAGTGAGCTGTGTTCCATGGGCCCCCCACCCAAAGTCACTCCCGTCACATTGGGCTTTAAAAAGAATAAAAAAAGGTACTGCCAAGGTGGAGTAGGGTGTTACTGATAACATATTTTAACATGCTTTTCATTCCTTTTATTTATTTTATTTTTTTCCTCTTTTTATAGCGCTTCATCCAGTATCTTGCGTCCCGGAATACTTTATTCAATCTGAGCAATTTTTTGGACAAGAGTGGACTTCAAGGTAAGATTTGATAGTCCGTGTTACCGTAAAATGACTGCTGTAGATTTACAGTGCGGGCACTTAGAGGTTCATATACATGATTTGCCCACCAGGACCGTTATAGCCGAATACGCCTCCTGACAAGGAAAGCTTTGGCATTTTGTGATGGTTTCAAAGCTTTTCCACCTCTTTCTGTAGTTTCCTGGTGGACTGGGAGTCAGCCTGTCATATTGTTTGCCCAGTAGAACTCTGTGGGGGACAACGGGTATTAACCTAGACACGGCAGAGTGTGGCCTATCAAGATCCAGGCTCTGGCTGTAGAAGCAACGTTTTGGCATTTGCTGCAGGTACAGTTGCAAAAAAAAGTATGTGAACCCCTTGGGATTACGTGGAATTTTGAATGAATTGGGCATAAAATGTGCTCTGAACGTCATCTAAGTCACAACAATAGAAGAACACAGTCTGCTGAACATAATACTACACAAACATTAGATGTTGCCATGGTTTAATTGCACATAACATGTAAACATTCACAGTGCAGGGAGGAAAAAGTATGTGAACCTTTGGACTTAATAACTGGTTGACCCTCCTTTGGCAGCAATAACCTCAACCAAACGTTTCCTGTAGTTGCAGATCAGACCTGCACAACGATCTGGAGTCATTTTGGACCACTCCTCTTCACAAAACTGTTTCAGTGTAGCAATATTCTTGGGATGTCTGGTGTGAATCGCTCTCTTAAGGTCATGCCACAGCATTTCAATCGGGTTGAGGTCAGGACTCTTGACTGGGCCACTCCAGAAGGCGTATTCTGTGCTGTTGCAGCCATTGTTTTGTTGAATTACTTGTATGCTTTGGGTCATTGTCCTGTTGCATCACCCATCCTCTGCGGAGCTTCAGTTGGCGGACAGATGGTCATACGTTTTCCTGCAAAATGTCTTGTTAAACTCTGGAATTCATTTTTCCATCAATGACAACAATCCATCCAGGCCCTGAGGCAGCAAAGCAGCCCCAAACCATGATGCTCCCACCGCCATGTTTTATAGTGGGGATGAGGTTTTGATGTTGGTGTGCTGTGCCTTTTTTTTTCTCCACACATAGTGTTGTGTGTTCTTCCCAAACAACTCAATCTTGGTTTCATCTGTCACATTGTAGATGTGTCAACAAAAATGTTAGCATGTGCCAGAGATTTCTGTAGGTCTTTAGCTGACACTCTGGGATTCTTCTTTACCTCATGCAGCATTCTGCGCTGTGCTCTTGCAGTCATTTTTACAGGACGACCACGCCTAGGGAGAGTAGCAACAGTGCTAAACTTTCTCCATTTGTAGACAGTCTGTCTTACCGTGGACACATGAACATCAAGGCTTTTGGAGATACTTTTGTAACCTTTCCAGCTTCATGCAAGTCAAAAATTCTTGATCGTAGGTCTTCTGAGAGCTCTTTTCTGCGAGGCATGGTTCACATCAGACAGTATTTCTTGAAACCAGTAAACCCAAAACAGGTGTGTTATTTAAGGGCAGGACAGCTGTCAGCAACATATCCAATATCATCACACTGATTGGAGTCAAGGTTGGCTCACTCCTGGCTCCAGTTAGCTCTGGGAGAAGTCATTAAGCTAGGGCCTCACATACTTTTTCCTCCCTGCACTGTGAATGTTTACATGTTATGTGCAATTAAACCATGGCAACATCTAATGTTTGTGTAGTATTATGTTCAGCAGACTGTGTTCTTCTATTGTTGTGACTTAGATGACGTTCAGAGCACATTTTATGCTCAATTCATGCAAAACTCCACGTAATCCCAAGGGGTTCGCATACTTTTTCTTGCAACTGTATATACAGGCCCTTTGAGACACTTGCACTTTATACACACAGATGTTTTTATTAATTGCCAGTTTCCCTAACTGACCTTTTCTCTATAAAGATATGTTTGGGACAAAACAAACCGACTAACAGAAGGAAATGTGAACTGGTGGGTCTTGGATGTGCTCAAAAAAGTCAAATGATATAAATAGCAAAACTGTAAAAGGGTACATTTGACAACTTGAATTGTTTTGTTTCTTTTGTGTTTCTTAAAAAACAGAGCTCCAGGCATATTTAAAGATGAAATTGAATGCAACGATGTGTTGTGTCAATATCATTAAATGTATTTTTTTAATGCAAGCAGTGTAAGAACCTGAATTTGACTTTGTATTGGCCTCTTGGATTTCTGTACAGTAGAGCTCATTGTGGGGGAGGTAGAACCAGAAAAAAGAGCCGATCTGTTGTACTGCAGCGCAGAAAGCATGCTGATAGGAGGAGAGAGAAGAGAGATGAGTCTGAAGGTGTAGAGGAGACCTGTAATTGTTAAAGTGTAAGAAGTCCTTTCCAAAGAATTTAAAGATAAAAGGTAATCTAACACCCTACACCCTCCCCAGCCCTGATAAGCTGTCAGTGCCAACGCAGCTTGTGTAGCGGTGTGAGGATTTGAAATCACTGCTGATCTCCTTCCTGTTTCTGCAGGGCTTCCAGGTTGAATCAGAGTGATTCTGATTGGTCAAATCCAGTAATGTTCTGATCTGTTTTGGAAGCGCTGCACAGAGAAGAAGGGAAGAGCAGGGATTTTAAATCCCTGGACTGCCATGGCAGCTGTGTTTGGACTGACAGATCATCAACTTAGAAGGTGTGAAGTGTTATAACCTTTTCATTTTATGCAGAAAAGGTGATCTAACCCTTTAACTGCAGAAGTGGAAAGTCGGGTCTCCCCTCTTGTTGGACCTGTCTAAATCTCAGAACCAGCTAGGCCAGGGGCAATTCATTTTCCTAATGGGCCACATGAGAAACTGGGACTATTGTGGAGGTCTGAACTTAATTTTGGACCTGGGAGATCTGCAAGTATTTAAACATACAGAAAACCAACAGCTGGCACTAGGAATAATAGATACAACTGCTCATGAAATAGGTCTCTTTCAGATGGGTAGTCAGGGAGTGGAAAAAATTGGTGGCTGAGCCATGGTTTTACAGCCTGTCCGAACTGTAAAATGACAGGACAGGGCAGTTCACATACCACAGCATTTTTAACTTGGACTGCAGAGTTTGACGAGCAACACAGTTTGTCAAACTCACCCATTGAGTTCAATAGAGCAGCATTGAAACTGCATACAATGCAAGCAATTGTATTACAGCATTATTATTATACAGTATTTATATAGCGCCAAAAGGTTTGCTCAGCGCTGTACATTATAGTGGGGGACAGAACATGAGACAATACAGTAACAAAACAAAACACGAGGGGTTTGAGGGCCCTGCTCCTTGGAGGTTACAATCTAGGAGGGAGGGGATAGTGGTACAGGAGGAAGTGGCTGTGGGGGATGGAGTGGCAGGAGGAGTGGAGGAGATCGGCTGTTAGGTGAGGGTGGGGTAGGCTTCCCTGAAGAGATGGGTTTTCAGGGTGCGCCTAAAGGTGAGGAGGGTAGGTGACAGTCTGATGGATTGGGGTAGTGCGTTCCAGAGGATGGGAGAATTCCTGGAGAAGTCCTGCAGTCGGGCGTGGGAGGAGGAGACCAGGGAGCTAGAAAGTAGGAGGTCTTGTGAGGAGCGAGTACGGGTTGGGTGGTATTGGGGTATCAGGTCGGTGAGGTAGTTTGGGGCAGCGTTATGAATGGCTTTGTATGTCAGTGTTAGTAGTTTGAATTGAATGTGTTGGGCAATCGGGACCCAGTGGAGGGAATGACAGAGGGGGGCGGCAGAAGCGGAGTGGTTGGTAAGGTGGATGAGTCTGGCCGCTGAGTTCAGGATAGACTGAAGCGAGGATAGCCTGTGTTGGGGTAGGCCGGTGAGAAGGGAGTTGCAGTAGTCCAGACGTGAGATAATAAGGGAGTGAACGAGTTGTTTAGTAGTGTCTGGGGTTAGGAACGTACATATTTTGGAGATGTTTCGGAGGTGGAGCCTGCATGAGTTTGCCAGCAATTGGACATGGGGTTGGGAGGACAGGTTTGAGTCTAGAGTGACACCTAGGACTTTGGCTTGCAGGGTGGGACTGATGGTGGCGTTGTTGGTCGTGATGGAGAGGATGGGTGGGGGGTCGCGGGCTGGGGGGAAAATTAAGAGCTCGGTTTTGGAAAGGTTCAATTTGAGGAAATGGAGCGACATCCAGTCTATGTCGTTCAGTAGGTGGGTGATACGGGCGGAGACTGAAGAGGTGAGGGGTGGAGAGCAATTTGCCCAGGTCTGAGTGAGACAGAAATGCAAATCCTTTTGGCAGGTGGAGCTACTCCCATATAGGTTACTCCATCTGGTTTTTTTTTTTCTATTAGTTTGCAGTTTTGTAAATCTACGCTGAATAGTTGGCAGATTTTGAGTTTGGTTTTAACTGATGTACCTTCTACCATTTCCAGGTTATGATATGTCCACCTTTATAAGACGCTATAGCCGGTACCTGAATGAGAAGGCAGTCTCTTATAGACAAGTTGCTTTCGACTTCACCAAAGTAAAGCGTGGGTAAGTTTCTGTAAATACGGGTGAGATTGACGCTTTTTGATAGGTAATAAAGGTGAAGCATTCAATACGCCTGTTTTTGCCCTTCTACAGTTAGAGTGCCTCTTGTCAATCAGTTGCTACTTTGCCTTGAAAAAGTATTCATACCTCTTGAAATTTTCCACATTTTGTCATGTTGCGTCCAAAAACGTAAATGTATTTTATTGAGATTTTATGTGATAGACCATCACAAAGTGGCACATAATTGTGAATTGGAAGGAAAATAATAAATGGTTTTCAAAATGTTTTACAAATATGTGAAAAGTGTGGCATGCATTTGTATTCAGCCCCCTTTTTCTCTGATACCCCTAACTAAAATCTAGTGGAACCAATTGCCTTCGGAAGTCACCTAATTAGTAAATAGTCCACTTGTGTGTAATTTAATCTAATTATAAATACAGCTGTTCTGTGAAGCCCTCAGAGGTTTGTTAGAGAAAATTAGTGAACAAACAGCATCATGAAGGCCAAAGAACACACCAGACAGGTCAGGGATAAAGTTGTGGAGAAGTTCAATGCAGGGTTAGATTATAAAAAAAATAATATACCAAGGTTTGAGCATCTCACAGAGCATCATCTGAAAATGAAAAGAGTATGGCACAACTGCAAACCTACCAAGTCATTGCCACCCACCTAAAATGACAGGGTGGGCAAGGAGAGCCTTACTCAGAGAAGCAGCCAAGAGGCCCATGGTAACTCTGGAGGAGCTGCAGAGAGCCACAGCTCAGGTGGGAGAATCTGTCCACAGGACAACTATTAGTCGTGCGCTCCACGAATCTGGTCTTTATGGAAGAGTGATAAGAAGAAAGCCATTGTTGAAAGAAAGCCAGAAGAAGTCCCGTTTGCGAGAAGCCATGTGGGAGACACAGCAAACATGTAGAAGAAGGTGCTCTGGGCAGATGAGACCAAAATTGAACTTTTTGGCCTAAAAACAAAACACTACGTGGGGCGGAAAACTAATACTGCACATCACCCTGAACACACCATCCCCACCGTGAAACATGGTGGTGGCAGTATCATGCTGTGGGGATGCGTTTCTTCAGCAGAGACAGGGAAGCTGGTCAGAGTTGATGATGGGAAGATGGATGGAGCCAAATACAGGGCAATCTTAGAAGAAAACCTGTTAGAGTGTGAAAAAGAATTGAGACCGGGGCGGAGGTTCACCTTCCAGCGAGACCACGACTCTAAACCTACAGCCAGAGCTACAATGGAATGGTTTAGATCAGGGGTCCCCAAACCTTCTAAATAAAGTGCCAGTTTATTGTATTTCAAACTTTAGGAGGGTTGGACTGTGGCATACTTTCCTGGCATCAGTGGGAGTAAACATCGCATAGTGCTCCACCATTGGTATCATTGGGAGGAGTAGTGCTTCGTTATGGGTGTTAGTGGGTGAAATGGTACCCCATTGTTGGTATCAGTTGGCAGAATAGTGTTTCGTATAAGTGGGAGGAATAGTGCCCGCCATTGGTATCATTGGGAGGAATAGTGCCCCATCATTGGTATCAGTGGGAGCAATAGTGCCCGCCATTGGTATCATTGGGAGGAATAGTGCCCCATCATTGGTATGATTGGGAGGAATAGTGCCCTGCCATTGCTATCATTGGGGAGGAATAGTGCCCCATTATTGGTGTTAGTGGGTGAAATGGTACCCCATTGTTGGTATCAGTTGGCAGAATAGTGTGTCGTTTAAGTGGGAGGAATAGTGCTCCAAGGGCCGGATAAAGGCAGGTGAAGGGCCATATCCAGCCCCAGGGCCGCAGTTTGGAGACCACTAGTTTACATCAAGGCATATTCATGTGTTAGAATGGCCCAGTCAAAGTCCAGACCTAAATCCAATTGAGAATCTGTGGCAAGACTTGAAAATTGCTGTTCAGACGCTCTCCATCCAATCTGACAGAGCTTGAGCTATTTTGCAAAGAAGAATGGGCAGAAATGTGCAAAGTTGGTACAGACATCCCTAAAAAGACTTGCAGCTGTGATTGCAGCGAAAGTTGGTTCTACAAAGTTTTGAGTGCGGGGGGCTGAATACAAATCACGCCACACTTTTCACAGATTTATTTGTAAAAAACAAAGTGTTTTTAAGAAAGGCGCCACACCCTCTAACTCCAAAGCAGCAAATTCCCAACTCAAAAAATAAAAATTTTTTTTTGCTTAAACAAATAAATGAAAGGGATGCGCTAATTAGGTAAATAATACAAAGTGAATATAAGAAAAAATATATATACAATATAAAATAAAGTTTTTTTAAAATAAAAATAAAAAATTATGCAAAAAAAGTGTCCATAAATAATGTCCAAAAAAGATTTTTAATTAATGTCCACACTATGTTTAGAACCACCACCAAAAAAAATGTTTTTAAATCACCCAACCGAGCTCAAAAAATAAAATAAAACAAATACCCTTTTTTTTGCTCTGGGCAATATATAACAAATCAATTCTTGAATACAATACTGTGTAAATCAACAAACAAATTTTCCTCCAATGAGGAACGTCCTCCTCCTGTGAGGACGTCGTGACGAAACGCGTAGGGCGTGGCTTGCTGGATGCTGACGCCTGAGACATTCTTTGGATGTGAGAGGAGGAGATCCAGAGCAAACGAAGATACGTTTGTGCACGATTGCCTAAACACATGCTTGTAAAACTGGTGTCGGTGGAGACACCTGACTTGTGAGTTTTTATTCGTTCATTAAAAAGTTTGTTACAATTTTAAAACTTGCTGCACCATGATTCTTTTTGCTTGCCTTTAAACATGGTCCCTATGGTATGGAAATATACGAAAGAGTTGTGAGATATATTCCTGGAAATTACCTATACCCTTGAATGGTGGAGTTTCATCTGAAGAAAATTAGTTCGTTTCTCGCATCTAAGAATCAGATTGCGATATATCCTTGCTGTATCCTTGAATGGTGGTTTTTCATCTGAGGAAAATTCGTTCGTTGATTCACACAGTAATATTTTTCATTGGAGGAAAATTTGTTTGTTGATTTACACAGTGTTGTATTCAAGAATTGATTTGTTATATATTGCCCAGAGCAAAAAAAAGGGTATTTGTTTTATTTTATTTTTTGAGCTTGGTTGGGTGATTTAAAAACATTTTTTTTGGTGGAGGTTCTAAACATAGTGTGGACGTTAATTAAAAATCTTTTTTGGACATTATTTATGGACACTTTTTTTGCATAATTTTTTATTTTTAAACTTTTTTTTTATTTTATTTTGTATATATATTTTTTCTTATATTCACTTTGTATTATTTACCTAATTAGCGCATCCCTTTTATTTGTAAAAAATTTTGAAAACCATTTCTCCTTTTCCTTCCACTTCACAATTATGTGCCACTTTGTGTTGGTCTATCACATGAAATCCCAATAAAATGCATTTACATTTTTGGTTGTAACATGAGAAAATGTAGAAAAGGGGTATGAATACTTTTGCGAGACACTATTTCAGTGGATGTCCACTTAATATGAAGAATGGAGACTGCAGTTAGCTCAGTGCAGAGATTTAAAAATTTACCAGTTGCACGCACTGTAGCTGTATTTTTTTTTTCTCCTTCGGTATTCTGCAAAAGTGTTTGTCAACCCAAATATTTGTCCTTTACCAGTGGCTGGCTTTTTAATAAAGTGCACTGTGTTTTGCCCTTTTATTTCTAAAGGCTTTAATTTCTATATAAATACCTGGTAATCCTGCCGGTGTCCTCTACCTGTTAGTGGATCTCCTCTTGCTGGGACTGTCTGAACAGCTTGACTGACAGTGGCTCCTGCAAGGACCCTCATTGTTATTACAGTGTACCCAAGTGATTGTAGCTGAATACCGTCCTCTGCCCCGGCCCTTCAGATTGTAAGAGCTGCATAATATTCATTTGACTTGCTGGCAGTAAAAGATATTCTGAATGTAAACTCCACTTCCACGATAAGATAGGCCCACTGGAATGCATGTGTGCTTTTTTAGCAGTCTGCATTTAAAAAAAAAAAAACAAAAAACCCATAAAAGTGCAACTGTACTGAATCCTGCTATATTATGTTTTTGTTTTTAGGGCTGATGGCGTCATGAGAACAATGAACACAGAAAAGTTGCTAAAGACAATGCCCATTATACAGAACCAAATGGATGCCCTGCTTGATTTCAATGTGAGTAGAATATACCTAAATCTAGACTTTTCTGCAGGTTTTTCCACTATTAATAGGAAGCCAGGCAGGATGAGTGGCCACATAAAGTAGTTGTAAACCCCTGAAATGGAAAAATGAACAGCGCATATCCCTCTATAGAATGTACTAGCCTCAGTCCAAAGCACCAAGTGTGATTTCTGTCTTCTCTCTCTGCCCTCTGTTGTCTGCATTAGTCACTTCTGACAGGTTATATTGAGACCACAGAATCTCAGGAGACTGCCCTGGCCCCTCCAGCAGACTGCCCTGGCCCCTCCAGCAGACTGCCCTGGCCCCTCCAGCAGACAGCAGGTTATTGATGGCCTCAGATGTGCATGTTTTCCTATGAGACTATATAGAGGGGGTTGTATCTATTCTCCCTGCTCAGGTCTCAGATTACACTTGGCTCTCTGCTCTATTCTGTGATCTCTGTAACAGATCCCTGCCCCTTGTCTGCTGGAGCTAAGAAAAAGCCTTTGATCTGTGCTTGTTTAATAGGCTTTAGAGAAGAGAACTACAGAAAACAAGTACAATTTATGTGGGAGGATTTGTTTAATCCCTGTGTATCACCTGAGGCCAGTCACTTCACTGGGTGTATGGTAAGGGTTTACAACCACTTTACACATGTTTTAGCTTTCTATAGAAAGGCAGATACCCTTTACCAGCCAATTGCAGAGGAGCCTTTGGTTGGCTGTGTACGAGGTTTTTGGCCTGAGATCCCCCAAATCAAGCCGGGACTGGCGATGTCTGGCTGCTGCTTATTTATTACAGGTAGTTATATAGCGCCATCAATTTACGCTTCGCTTTACATATATATTTAGTACATTCACATTGGTCCCTAACCCTCAAGGGGTGTACAATCTCAAGTCCCTAACTTACATTCATACATACACATACTAGGGACAATTAAGACAGGATCTAATTCACCTACCAGCATGTCTTTGGAGTGTGGGAGGAAACCAGAATATCCAGAGGAAACCCACGTAGGCATAGGGAGAACATGCAAACTCCAGGCAGGTGGTGCCATAGTTTTGGATTCGAACCAACAACCATAGTACTGACAGGTGGAAGTGCTAACCATTTAGCCACTGTACTTTTTATTTTCTATTCCTTTTCAAAATTTGAATTTCGGAAGTTATAAAATGTGCCTGCTAAGGTAGTTCGGGTGCGTGTGCGTGTGTGTGTGTGTGTGCGTGCGTGCGTGCGTTGAAAGTCTTTTAGTATTTTGGATCTTTTGGCAGTCGGGCAATGCCCATTCAAGCATCCACCTTTTTTGTTTTCCATGTTTTTAGTGCTTTGCATTTTCCCTCTCTCCTAGGTAAATGCCAACGAACTGACAAATGGAGTCATTAATGCTGCTTTCATGCTGCTCTTCAAGGATGCCATCAGACTGTTTGCCGCATACAATGAAGGGATAATTAATCTGTTAGGTAATATAGAGCTGATTTGTCATTCTGTAACACTTGTTACATAGCAGAAAACCAGAGGGCAGATATTTTCTCATTCGGCAAGTGATATCAGTGTAAATAATTCTACGCAGTGTGAGGCCGCATGAATGCATTTAGCAGAGGTGTCTAGTAAATGCAGCAATCATGTGGGCTTCTTGGATCTCATGCACACTGCAGCTCAAAGAAGCTGCTCCTACAGGCGTTTGAGCTTTTACTTTTCTCTTCCTGTTAGCTCCCCTCCATGTTAGCCTTTATGTCCATGCACACTATAGGTGTTTTCAGGAGGTTAGTGGCAGGGGAGTTAACAGACAGAAAACCGCAGAGGAGCTTTTTGAGCATAAAAAAAAATGCTCAAATGTGAAAAAATGCACTTTAGCTTACATAAAAGCAAATTGGTGCGCGTCAATGCATTCTAATGGCCAGAATTCTGGCCATTGAATAGGGAAGCCTTGCTTGTTCAAGTTCAAGTTTCAATTTTTTGTTGTTTTTTTTTTTTTACAATTTCTTTATTTAAAGATAAGCATGTGAGTGAAGATTATTCTGGAGCGCTTTCATGGACTCAAAATTCATTTCTGTTAGCTTTCCGAAACTGATTTCCAGATATAGCTATTTTTGCATGGTTGTATAGTCCATGCTGGTCCAATGTAAGTATGTATGTGCCATACCCGAAGAGGAAGCTGGAAATCACTGTGGTAGGTACATACATACTTGCATGGTTGTATAGTCCATGCTGGTCCAATGTAAGTATGTATGTGCCATAAATAAAAAATACAAATGCGGCGCTCTATAATATTTACAGTATGCAGATGGTATCTCACAGTATACAAACTTATTTGATATGGTACATACGAATTAATGTGACTGTTGTGACACAGTGAGCAATAATAAAACTTTTGTGACTGCTGTGACTGTGGTACTAAATAACAGCAACAAAGCTTATTGGATATAGTTCATGCGGAATGATATGACTGTGGATATACAATAAGCAAAGATTAATATTTGTGACTGCTGTAGCTAGAAGCAATGAGCATACTATGCACCGACCAGATAGTATCACACAGTAACATAAACTTGTAGGATATAGTTAATGCGGAGTAATGTGACTGTGGTGACACAAAGAACAGAGGATAACTTTCGTGGCTGCTGTGGCTGGAAACGATGAGCATACTATGCACTAACCAGATAGCACAGATAAATGTGCGTTGGAGTAAATAAGACCTACTCCTTGGTACTCGGGGGGGATGGGAACTCAGCATGCGGATGTGATCATCAGGTGGAGGTGCTTCACCAGCTGCCATCTATCCAAAGCAGGTTTCCACATCTCAGGTTAACCGTGTCCAGCAGTACAATTTCCAGCCATCAGGGGGATCATACAAGCAGATGGAAACCAGGAAAAGATCCTTCAGGATAAGGGCTCTCAGTGCCAGATAAATGAGCCCAGAGAGAAAAGAACTCCAATAGTGTAGTATGTTTAATGATAATATAAGAGTAACATCAAGGTACAGGTAAATAAACAGAGCCAGCATGTGCCATACCTGAAGAGGAAGCTGGAAATCACTGTGGTAGGTACTGTTACTGCAGTGATTGCCATTGGCTTCTGTGTCCCTTGCATAGTGGCTGCTCTGCTTCTCCGTGAACGCAGGAGCTCACACAACACGGCATCATTCAGAGAATGCTTTGTTTTTTCTCAGTGAATGCAAAACATTCTCTGATTGGACGAGGTGGAGAGGCAGGCGGTGACATCAGGATCTGCACCTCATCCAATCAGAGAATGCTTTGCTTTAAGTGCAAAGTGTAATGCCTGTGCAGGCCAGCCACTTGGCATGGGTCCCTGAAGCCAGCTGCAATCTCTGTAGTAATACTGTCTTCTACAGAGATATTCAGTTTCCAGCAGAATCTTCCAGGTATGGCACTTGCCATACCTGGAATTCACCAGTGTACTTGTAATAGGAGAAAAACCTGGGCTGCTCATTCTTCATTTTCATATACTAGTTGTCTGTCTCTGTGTGACAGCAATACGTTTCAGTCACTGGCCTGGAACAGAAATGCTGAATAATTAAAGTGGCACTTCACTCAATCAGCATGGACAGTTTTTATTCCTTATGCTGCTAGTATTAGTAAATAGATAGGAAAGTATATTAAATTTATTTGTGTTAATTTTTTTTTTTACATTTCTTTAGTCACATTTCTGGTTTCCATGACTAGGCAAATGATGTCATACATCCCCAGGAGTCTTCATGGGAGGAGGGTCTTTCTCAGCTAAGCACACCCTCCTGCCTGCCTGCATGCCTGAGCTAAGGGCAGATAGATTCCAGGAAGTAAATGCTATATGAGTCATCTGCCCTTATTCAAGATGGCTGCAGCCATAATTGCTAGGGGATTGGTTTTCAAAGTGATTTCTGAGCATGTAGACTATGGGGGAGTTTGCTTTGTATAATAAAAATGAATTAAATGGTGTTTTTTGTTTGTAGTGCTCAGATGCAGTGTAGTTGTGCTTTAAATTTGTGTATGCTGGTTTTGAAAGGAATCGTGCCAAAGCATCAGAGTGACAGCCAACTCACTTTGGGAAGGACATTAAGTAATGGCGGACTATATGGCTTCCATTTTGGCATCTTTAACCCTTTCGCTGCTACCAATGTTATGGGTTGCAGCAGAACAGGACTCACAGCTATAAGGTCACAGTTGCTCTAGTGCCCATGAACTTCTAGCATAAAGGTCTCCTAGATTCTCCTGACCATTGAATTCCTAACAAGTGTGACCACTACATGTACACTACAAGGTGTTTTACACCAAGTTCTCCCCAATCTTCTCTCTTAGAAAAATACTTTGACATGAAGAAGAACCAGTGTAAAGACGGGTTGGATATTTACAAGAAGTTCCTCACCCGAATGACACGGATTTCAGAGTTTTTAAAAGTTGCTGAGGTATGTGTGTACTCCTGTTACTGAGGCCCACTGCATTTCCTTATTAGTTATCAAATGCCTTTGGTTTGCTTGCCTTATGCCTGCTGTCTGTAGGACATTTGTTTCCTACCTACATTTTAAGCGCTCGCTGACCACGCTATAGCCAAATGATGGCTACAGCGCACTTACTCTCTGTGTTTGCTGTGTTCTTCGGACACAGCTAATCACGTCACGGTATAGAGCCAATCACTGCAGCTGATTCCTACGTGATCAGCTGTGTCCCTTCACAGCTGATCACGTTGTAAACAAACTTGCTGGTTAGCAGCAGCACTTTCCTCATGCTGTCACAGCATGAGGGAAAAAAAAATGAAAAATGTCATGTGGGTACAGTGTTGCATGACCGCGCAATTGTCATTCCAAGTGCGACAGTGCTGAAAGCTGAAAATTGGCCTGGACAGGAAGGGGGTAAAAGTGCTAGCTTTAACCACTTTTAACTGCACGCCGCCCAGCCGCTGTACATATACGGTGGCAGGGCGGCACTCACAGGCAAAACCACGTTTTAAAACGTGTGTTTTGTAAACAAATAGGGGGAGCGTGCGAGGCGCGCTGCTGCCCTATTTGTCCTGTGGATCACCGCCGCAGATGTCAGTTGCCGGGTCACAGCCGCTCGTTAGCGGCTATGTCCCGGCGATTCGGAGGTAAATGGTGACAGAGAGCACAGCTGCAGTAGCTGTGCTGTCTGTCACCTCTCTGTCAGCTCGAGGATGAGCTGATCGATCAGCCTTGTCCCGCCCAGCAAACACCCCCGCCCCCTAGTAAAACACTCCCCTCACTCCTATAACCCTTCCCTGCTAAATAAAGTTAACCCCTTCCTCCCCATTGCCATTAGTACAGTGTCAGTTTTTTTTTTTTTTTTTTTTTTGCACTGATCACTGTATTAGTGTTTTTGGGGATGTCGGTGACCCCAAGTCAGCACCCCCCAATGTCAGAATGTCCGCCGCAGTCCCACCATAAGTTGCTGGTCGCTGCCATAAGTCCCTGATCGCCGCCATAATTCGTCCCTGATCGCCGCCATTATTAGTATAAAAAAAAACCTAAAAATCCCACTATCTTTCCCGCCATTTGTAAACGCTATAACTGTCACGTAAACCAATTAATTTACACGTATTGGGTTTTTTTTTTAGCAAAGACGTCGCAGAATGCATTTTGGCAGAAATTTATGACTAAATTTGATTTTTGCATTTTTTTTTTTACTGGACATGTTTTATAGCAAAAAGTCCAAAATATTGTTTTTTTTTTTTTCCTCATAATTGTCAGACTTTTTTTTTATAGCGCAAAAAATAAAAACCGCACAGGCGATCAAATACCACCGAAAGAAATTTGTGGGGAAAAAAAGGATGTAAATTTCATTTATGTACCGTATTGCATGACCGTGCAATTGTCCGTTAAACTAGTGCAGCGCTGTATAGCAGAAAAATGGCGTAAATTGCAGTATCTATACCATAGTTTGTAGACGGTATAACTTCCACACAAAGCAATCAATATACACTTATTGGGATTTTTTTTTACCAAAAACATGGAGCAGAATACATTTTGGCCTAAATTTATAACCAACTTTGAGTTTACTATATATTTTTTATAGCTGAAAATAAAAAATATTGTTTTTCTTCAAAATTTTTGGCGTTTTTTTTGTTTATAGCGTGAAAAATAAAAAGCACACAGGTGATCAAATTACACCGAAAAAAGCTCTATTTGTGTGAAAAAAAGGACGTAAATTTCGTTTGGGTGCAGCGTTGCATGACCGCGCAATTATCAGTTGACTTAGTGCAGCGCCGAGTAGCAAAAAGAGGGCTGGTCATTAAGGGGGGTAAATCCTCAGCTCAAGTGGTTAATATAAGTGTTAAAACTAAAGTTTTGATGGGAATAAAAATGCCATTTATCTGTTTGTGGATACTGGGCATGCTACACTCAACCACAATACGTTATTGAAGTACACAAGACATTTGTAATAATCCTGTCTTTATGCCTTGCTGCCACCTACCCCCCTCACGCTTGCCAGCCATTCCCAGATGTGGAAATGCCAGTAGAGAGTTGTGAAAATTCAGCAGCTGCAACATAAATACTGTGTTCTATAGTGAGATAGACACCAGCTAACATTGCAACCTGACCGGTACAAAAAAAAAAAGATGACAAATTATATAATAAAGCATAAGGGATGGTACTCACATTAAAGGTGAGGCGTCCATTGTGCTGGTGGCTGCTCTCTTTAGTGATATCTTCATTGCTTTGCCCCCCCCCCCCCCCCCCATACGGCAAAATGTTTGTTTAAATGAAGTTTTATTATTTATTTATTTCAGGTACTTATATAGCGCCGTTAATTTTACGCAGCGCTTTACATATATATTGTAGATTCACATCAGTCCCTAAACCTCAAGGGGTGTACATTCGAAGTTTTAAAATGCAAATATATGATCAGCTCCACAGGAGTCTTGAATTGCACAATGTTTGCACAGCCATTTTAATAATTGGTGCAGGGCTGTAAGTACCTCCTATGTGGCACTGCTTCAGCCTAGCAGTATTTTACTCAAGCCCCAAGCACTGCATTGTGGAATGCTGGGGCGGTGGGCCTGCTATGTCACACCAAAAAATCAGAGCTATTTTAACCTTTTTGTTTTTCCTTTTAATTTTAGCAAGTGGGGATTGACAGAGGAGACATACCTGATCTATCTCAGGTAAGGAAGCTTTTTGGCCATTCTTTTGTGTATTTAGCTACAATGCATATTCCCTGGATAAAATATGCATGTGGACAGCAATTTGTGCATGGATGTGAAGTTCTTGCATCTTCATAATTGTCGAGTGTGTTGTAAATCCTACTATTAAACTTTTTCTCATTTGCTCTTTTTTTTTTTTTTTTTTTTCATTTTGGTCTGTTAAATATTCCTTTGAAAATTGTTTTTATATATCAATAAATGTGAAAAATACCTGTTTACCCCTGTGCAAATCATTAGTAAGACCTCATCTGGAATATGCAGTTCAGTTTTGGGCACCAATTCACAAAAAGAACATTGGGGAACTGGAGAAAGTACAGAGAAGGGCAACCAAACTGATAAGAGGCATGGAGGAGATCAGCTATGAGGAAAGATTAGAGGAACTGAATTTATTCTCTCTTGAGAAGAGGAGATTAAGGTGGGATATGATCTCCATGTATAATACATAAGGGGGGATATGATCTCCATGTATAATACATAAGGGGGGATATGATCTCCATGTATAATACATAAGGGGGGTATAATACATAAGGGGGGATATGATCTCCATGTATAATACATAAGGGGGGATATGATCTCCATGTATAATACATAAGGGGGGATATGATCTCCATGTATAATACATAAGGGGGGATATGATCTCCATGTATAATACATAAGGGGGGATATGATCTCCATGTATAATACATAAGGGGGGATATGATCTCCATGTATAATACATAAGGGGGGATATGATCTCCATGTATAATACATAAGGGGGGATATGATCTCCATGTATAATACATAAGGGGGATATGATCTCCATGTATAATACATAAGGGGGATATGATCTCCATGTATAATACATAAGGGGGATATGATCTCCATGTATAATACATAAGGGGGGATATGATCTCCATGTATAATACATAAGGGGGGATATGATCTCCATGTATAATACATAAGGGGGGATATGATCATGTATAATACATGATATGATCTCCATGTATAATACATAAGGGGGGATATGATCTCCATGTATAATACATAAGGGGGATATGATCTCCCATGTGGCCAAAATATTCAAACCCCCACTGATAATTGAGGTTTATGCCAGTTTGACATTGCCATGATATTCAGTCATACATTTATAAGGGGGGAACAAATATAACATAACAGTTATAATGAAATAACCATGTCTTTTCTATAATACATTATAAGTTTTATTCAACCCCCAATATGATCTCCATGTATAATCCTTTTACAGTTATAACAGCTTTTAAACGTGAAGCATAGCTTGACACAAGTGTCTTTGCAGCGATCTACGGATCTTCGCCCATTCCATGGGCAAAGGTCCAGTTCATCACATAAGGCTTGCGCACTGCAACTGCTTTCTTTAAGGGATTTAAGTCTGGTGACTGCGATATCCTCTGCAACCATGCCATGCTTGGGATATTGTCCTGTTGAAATACATAACGGACTGCATCACGTTATGATCTCCATGTATAATACATGAAGAGAATTCATGGTACCCCTTGATCTCCATGTGCAGAAGCAAAATAGCCCCCAAAGGGGGGATATGATCTCCCATGCTTCACAGTAGGCAAGGTGTTCTTTTCATCATAGGCCTTGTTCTTCCTCCTCCAAACATAGCGTTGATCCATGGCCCAAACAGTATTTGTTTCATCAGTCCACAGAAACACTATCCCACAACTTTTGTGGTTTGGGGGGGCTTATGGATCTCCATGTATAATGGAGACAGCAAGGGGGTACGCCTGGGAGTTCTGGCACGGGGGATATGATACGCAGTGTGCGTCATATTGTCTGGGCTGAAACTTCTGTACCCACATCTGACAAATCTTTTCTCAGTTCCTCAGCAGTCACACGGGGACTTCTCTCCACTCTAATTCAGGTAGCGCACAGCAGTCGAAGGGGGATAGCGTTTCAACATGCCCTTTGCCTTGAATTTGTGATGCTTACAAGGTGTCTCTTGGGGGTTTATGATCTTTGCCATCTTCTTATAGCCATTGCCCTTCCTGTGAAGAGAAATCACCTCTTCTCTTGTCTTCCTGGACCATTCTCTTGTCACCATGTTTGTAACCACACCAGTAAATGTCTAGAAGGAGCTGAGTATCACAGTCATTTTAAAGCTGCCTAATGGTGCTTATTATGCTTGATAATCGGTGATAAGGTGTTTTCAATACCTGATGGAAAGCACCTGTATGAACCTCTGTTCTTCAGAGTGGTATCTTTAAGGGGTTGAATATTGTGGCAATGAAGAAAAACCACACATAAGAACCATTTACTACTGTATTACATAAACAATTGATGTCATTTTAGTTGCATTTGGGTAGTTACAACGTCCTTGTAGGATTTGATTCTGAATACAATTCCAAAATGTACACTATAGTCCCTAAACCCCTTTACAGCATTAAGGGGGTTGAATAATTTTGGCCACAACTGTATAATACATAAGGGGGGATATGATCTCCATGTATAAATACATCAGTGTTCATATAGTGAACTTGGTGTAGAGTTATTCACCCTGAGGTCATCACTGAGGACAAGGGGGCACTCTCTTTACGTCTGGAGGAAAAGTAAAAGTAATCTCCAAACACGGAAAGGTTTCTTCACAGTGAGAGCTGTGAAAATGTGGAATAGACTCCCTCAAGAGTTGTGTCTGGCCACTCAGTGGATTGCTTTAAAAAAAAGCCTGGATTCTTTCTTGGATACACAGAATATAACTGGATACTGACATTTATAGGTAAAGTTGATCCAGGAAATATCCGATTGCCTCTCGGGGCATCAGGAAGGAATTTATTTTCCCAGCAGGAGCAAATTGGATCGTGCTTTGCTGGGGTTTTTTTTGCCTTTGAATCAACTGTGGGTATAGGATTATATTTATTTTTTAAGGTTGAACTGGGTGGACTTTTGTCTTTTTTCAGCCAGACTAACTAGGTAACCTGCCAGAAAATCAGTGAGCTGATAACCTCCTCTACGCTGTGCACATCTGCTGTCTCTGTGAACTACAGAAACTCCCCTCCTTATGTTATACATATGAGAGTAGGGGGGATTGTAGTCCTGACAATGCCTTTCCTATGGTGAAAATGCTGATGTGTGAGAGTTGTCATCCTAGAATAGGAAGTGTGCTACTGGAAAGATCACCAGATGAAAATGATCTGGAAAAAAGACATCAATGCACGCACCGCCCACCAAGTAAGGATTGTAAGCTGCAGTATATTACAATTTTGTTCTTGGGTGTACATACTATTTAATACTCTTTACAGCAGTTATAGTCCACAGCAGAGCTGATGACTTTATCTTGCTGACTGCCCCAGAAACTGCGCGACACAACCATTGCTGGGTGGTGTATAGTGTGTTCATTTTGGGACAGTCACACACTCGGGTAAAATTGTACTGTTGGCTTCCAAAATCACAGCAGTAGTGCCAAGTGAGCAACTCGCAGGGATCACAGTCCTGCAGCTACACGTCTCTGTGCAAACGGAGGAGACTGCTGTCTGTGTAAAATAGTTAACAAACACTGCAGCAACCAGAGACGGGGTACAGATCATTAAAGCCAACTTATTTTTTACTGTGCAAATAGCCAAAAATGATTTTGGCTGTACTTCAGCTTTAACGGAGAACTACAGTGCTCAGCATAAATGAGTACACCCCGTTTGAAAAGTAAGATTTTTAACCAATTGCCGCCCTGCCACTGTAGAACTACATGGCGGCACGGGCAGGCAAAACCACATTTTAAAAACGTGTGTTTTGTAAACAGGTTGGGGGCGTGCGCAAGGCGTGCCGCCGCCCTGCTTGTCCCGCCGATCACAGCCGCGGATGTCAGTCGCCGGGTCACAGCCGGTCCTTACCGGCTATGACCCGGCGATCGGCGGCAATCAGTGACAGACAACACAGCTGCAGTAGCTGTGCTTTCTGTCACTTCCCTGACAGCTCGAGGACAAGCTGATCGGGACAGAAGAGTTTCCCTCTCCTGATCAGTGGTGTTCCCTGCAGTACACACCCCGCCCCCTAGTAAAACACTCCCCTCACTCAGATAACCCTTCCCTGCAAAATAAAGTTAACCCCTTCCTCCCCAGTGCCATTAGTACAGTGTCAGTGTTTTTTTTTTTTATTTTTTGCACTGATCACTGTATTGGTGTCACTGGGGATGTTGGTGACCTCAAGTCAGTACCCCCCAATGTCAGAATGTCCGCCGCAGTCCCGCCATAAGTCCCTGATCGCCGCCATAAGTCGCTGATCGCCGCCATTATTAGTATTAAAAAAAACACTAAAAATCCCAGTATCTTTCCCGCCATTTGTAAAAGCTATAACTTTCACGTAAACCAATTAATTTACACGTATTGGGTTTTTTTTTTTACCAAAGACATGTCGCAGAATGCATTTTGGCAGAAATTTATGACTAAATTTGATTTTTAAATTTTTTTTACTGGACATGTTTTATAGCAAAAAGTCCAAAATATTGTTTTTTTTTCCTCAAAATTGTCAGCCTTTTTTTTTTTTTTTTATAGCGCAAAAAATAAAAACCACACAGGCAATCAAATACCCCTGAAAGAAAGCTCAATTTGTGGGGGAAAAAAGGATGTAAATTTCATTTATGTACCGTATTGCATGACCGCACAATTGTCCGTTAAACTAGCGCAGCGCTGTATAGCAAAAAAATGGCGTAAATTGCAGTATCTATACCATAGTTTGTAGACGCTATAACTTCACACACAAAGCAATCAATTGGATTTTTTTTCACTAAAAACATGTAGCAGAATACATTTTGGCCTAAATTTATAACCAACTTTGAGTTTACTATATATTTTTTTAAAGCTGAAAGTAAAAAATATTGTTTTTCTTCAAAATCTTTGGCCTTTTTTTTGTTTATAGCGTGAAAAATAAAAAGCGCACAGATGATCAAATACCACCGAAAGAAAGCTCTATTTGTGTGAAAAAAAAGACGTAAATGTTTGGGTGCA